GTGTAGTATTACTTTTATGATATTTGCATTAATTCGAACTCTTGTTTGTGGTTAGTTTGACAGGGTGAATTCTGCTTCATATTTGACAGTTTAAATTTTTGCTTAAATGAACGTGTAAGTTTTGCTTCATATTTGACAGGATAAATCTTTGCTTTATAGTTGACAAGGGGATTTTGCTTCATATTTGTCAGCTTAAATTTTTACTTAGTAAATGAAAATGTAAATTTTGCTTCATATTTGAAAGGGTGAATTTTGCTTCATACAAGACCAGGTGAATTTTGTTTAAAATTAGACAGATTAAATTTTTGCTTAGTAAATGAAAGGGTGAATTTTGCTCCATATTTGAAAAGGTGAATTGTACTTTGTGTTTGAAAATGTGAAGTTTTGTTTCATATTTTTTAGGGTGGTTTTGCTTTAGACCAGACATGGTGAATTTTATTAAGATATTTTTGCTCTGTCATAGCAAGTTATTTCATAAAACCATCTTCCCAGAAAAACAATGGACAAAAATAATTTTCTTTTTAAAAATTATATTTTTCTCATATTTCTGCAACTTTCTATCAACTCGAGAGATTTAAAATGAAATTTATAGAAATTCTTTTGAGAAACAAATTCAGATTGTAACAGTCTCAATTCTATTCTTGAGGCAGTAATCTGAGAATGCTTCTGCCATCATCATTGTCACTAAAACTAAACAATCAAGCTACAGATCCCAGACTATGCCATGACAAAAATTTCTAATAATTATTTATCAGTGATATATCAAAAATAGACATAAATAAATCTTACATAAACTTTCAGCAACTTGACTGGTAGGGTATATAATTTGATGAATGCAGGAACAAATTTTTAACTTTTAAACATTATTTTCTGTCTGAATATCATTATTTGCACTATTTACATTCAAAGTATTTTCCTCATCATTGTTATTGCTCCATTGGTGTATAACATCTAGGCCGTACTGATTTGATAATTTTGATGGAGGCATTATTATTATTTGCACTATTTACACTTGGCTATTGCTATTTTTGCTATTACAAGATTTCAGTCATTATGCTACCTGGCCTTCTTCAGGTATTTGTCAATCTGAGTAACCTTCAGTGAATTTCAAACTGAACCCTTTACTTAATCTTCAGGGGTAAATTATTCTCATTCCACTGTCCATGTCTAGGGATATCTTGTCTTGTTCTCTTTTTAGTACTGTTCAGTTATTGCTTACCCTGTTTCTATTTAATATAAGTCTGTACTACGCAGGTAATTAATCAGGATGCAGGACAAGTCATCACTGACAATTGAACACCCCCTCAACTCAACAACAATTGAACACCCTCAACTCAACGACAATTGAACACCCCCAACTCAACGACAAATGAACACACTCAACTCAACGACAAATGAACACACTCAACTCAACGACAAATGAACACACTCAGCTCAACGACATGCAAACTATGAAATTTTTTCAGTAACTTTTATATAAACAAATAGAAGTAATTTATTAAAGAACCTTTTTCAAAACACAACTTTTTAAAACTGAACAAAAGTAATTTAGTTGATTGGGGTGAAATGCTCAAAAAAATAGGAGAAGCATACACAAACTTGGTGATTCTCCCACGGACCATTTAATTCTCTTTTTTATATAAACTGTATAAGCATCATATTCATGGTCATGCACAAGTCCGTCTTGTGCAGAGTTGGAAATAAAAATAATGATTATTTGCTTTATATTTGTAGGTGGAGGTTTTAAAATAAAATGACTAATAAGGAAAATATATTTAATTTCAGTCAGAAAGGAATTTGCATAATTATGACCATTTAGTAACATCAGGGCTTTGCTTTCTGAACAAAGATTTGGGAGTATTATTAGCATCAGTTTCAACTTCTCAGATGATTTGAAAGGCCTATATGTGAGAGGCATTCATTTGCAGATCAGCTCCAGGAGAAGCTCAGGCAACCAGATGGGCCCCAGCAATAAAGAAATGCTTCTTTTCTTCTCTTCTTTTACTGTAAGTTCAATTCTCATTTGTTGCTTCATAATAATAGCCTTGTGCCAGACTAAGCTAAAATTTGTAAATCACTTTAGCATGGAATAATGGTTAGCAAAGTTTTGTTAAAAGTCATTATCCATTTCAGTAAGTTCAATTCTCACAAGTTTCTCCATTCTAATGGCTTTGCTTCCTCTTCCTCCTCCTCCCCCCTCCCCCCTCCTCCCTATAGCTGATTGGAACTCCATTGACAAACCCTTTCCACACTGTTTGGTCTTGTATTGCTGTCCCCAGATCTCTAATATACCGACCCTGCCCTGAGCTATGGTGTCTGGGAAAGTCAATTTTTGTGAGAAGACCCTTCCAGAAGGATACCATAGTAGTAAGGATGAGACGATTTCCCTGTCCGCTCGGTGGCAGTGACTGGCAAACTCACATATCTTACTTTCTCTCTCTCATTTATTTCTTTATATCTCTTTCTTTCTCTTTCTCTCTTTTATTGCCTCATATCTCTTCTTACTCCTATGGAGTAAGGATAAGAGGATTTCCCTGTTCACTTAGCGGCAGTGACCAGCAAACTGTAATTATTTTTGTTTAAGCTTAAGAGAGATTGGTCTCAGTTCTCCATAAATTGTGTTAAGCATTTCATGGAATCTTTGACTGATGTTCTGGGTTTTTCTAAATAGATTTGTATATTTTCCATTCAGTCATCCTTCAAGAGAAGCGGATGATATCAAAGTTTCTGTTCTGTACAGTAGGACTGGTTTAATCAATGTTTGAATGGTTTGAACTTTTAAGCATAAGGGAAGGTTTGACCGCTAAATCTTGTGAAGTTTGTTACACACCTTCCATGCAAGAGTTTTGCAGATGTTGAAGTCTTTTTGGGAATATATTATATGAGATCCAAGATATTTGAATTCCTCAACTCTTTTGATGGATGTATTATGAGTGACTTCAACTCAAATGGTTCAGGGGAGGTTGTGATATATTCTGTCGTTGATATATCAGGTCATCCCATAAGTTCTGTCCGAATTTTGAATAAAGAAAACAAGTGACCAAATGTTACATTTAATTACAGATTCAATTAACAATGTATTTTCCCTGATTATCTATGACTTCCTTCCATCTATTAACAAGCTTACTAATTCCATTACTGTAAAATTCTTTTTGCTTTGATTCGAAGAACTTACAAATGTCAGTTTTAACCTCTTCCTGTGTTACAAAAGCTGTTTCTTCCAAATGATTCTGTAAGCTACGAAACAAATGGTAGTCTGAAGGAGCAAGATCAGGAGAATAAGGTGGATGAGGAATTTTATCCCAACAAAGTTCTTCGATCTTTTGTGACGTGATTCTTGCTGTGTGAGGTCGCGCATTGTCCTGATGAAACATCACCCCTTTTTGATTCACTAGAGCAGGTCTTTTTTTCCTCAAAGCTTGGTTCAAACGATCTAATTGCTGACAGTATATTTGAGCATTAATTGTTGCATTAGGTGGTAAGAATTCAAAGTGGATTATTCCTTGGTGATCCCACCAGATTGAAAGAAGAACCTTTTGCCCATGAAGTACCCTTCTTGGCTGTGGCTGGGATCCTTCCCCTTTACCAAGCCACTGTCTACGATGCTTAACATTTTGATAAAAGACACATTTTTTGTCGCCAGTCACAAGTTTATCCAAAAAACAAGTTTAACAAGTTGGTGAGAATGGAGAGAAGAGCAGATATCAACTCGGGATTTGAGGTTGTTTTCAGACAATTCATGAGGCACCCATTTTCCAAGTTTAGGAACTTTTCCAAGTTGTTGAAGATGACGATGAACAGTTATATGGTTTGAACTGAGAACCACTGCCAATTCCTCAACTGGGCTGCTTCAAGAAGCTTTTCATCAAACTCAACTGGACATCCGGTTCGATCTTCAAGGGTGAAATCTCTGCCTCTGAATTTTGCAAACCATCTTCTGCAAGTTCTTTCATTCACACATTCCTCTCCATAAACTGAGTGAATGTTTCTAGCTGCTTCGGCTGCTGAGTTTCCTTTCTTGAACTCATAAAGCATTATGTGCCTCAAATGATCCTTGGGTACTTCCATGTTAGCAGGGTTTTAATCAAACAAAATTTAATTTTATTGTTCTCTGAAATAAAATTTGATCAGTTTAAATGCATCTAAACATAAAAATAATGTTCAGCTCCATTAGACATTATAAAATACTCTTTAAATTTCGTTCATTTTAAAAAGAAGTTAAAATTCGGACAGAACTTATGGGATGACCTGATATAATGGCCTTATGGCAGAAGCTGAACTTTGTAAATCACTTTCGCATGGAATAATGGTTACCAAGCTTTTCTTACAAGCCATTATATCCTTTTGTTATGTTCAATTCTCATTATTTGCTCCAATCTAATGGTCTTGTTCCAGACTAAGCTAAACTTTGTAAATCAGTTTAGCATGAAATAGTAGATACCAAGCTTTTTCTTACAAGTCATTATTCCTCAAAGTGAGTTCAATTCTCACAAGCTGCTCTATATTAGTAGCCTTGTACCAGACTAAGCTAAACTGGTACAGTAGAAGCATAGTAGGTTGTAAGCTGATGATATTATATCTTGTTTATTTTGTAAATATCAACCAGACAACTTAGATTACTTCCTTCAAATGCACTTGCATTAGAAAAAAAAATAATCGAACCAAATAAGGCCTATTTTTATAACATCTGCCTCAACTTAATTTTAAATTATTATGCTTAACAAGTTTACAGGCAGAACAATGAATATTTCTGAAAAAAATCTCTTGTATTTGACTAGAATTAAATGCCATTTCTATTAAATTCAATAAATTATATATGGAGCCCTGCATTGATTAAGTAAGCCAAGAATTCAAGAAAACAGAGATCAGTTGAAAAATCAATATTTCTTATTGGGAACGTCATTAAGAGAAAAAGAGAAGATACAAAATGGCTTTTCAATCTGCAAGAGTTGAGATAAACTTTAGTATTCTTCATCCTCTCAGCTTTCTATAGCTTCTTTATGTCAGCCTCCTTCACTCCCATCTTCTTAGCTTCCCCTACTGTCATCTTTGTCTCTTACGTCTTACTTTTCTTTTTCTTCTTTACTTTCTTCATTTCTTGTCTCTTCTTCATTGGTGTCTTCAACTGTTTCTCTTCTCTGACTTCCTTCTTTTTCCTTCTTTTCTTAATTACCTTCTTCTTTTTCACTTTCTTCATTCTTCTTCATCTCTTCCTCTTTTTTTCATTTCATTCTTTTTCCTTTCTTCAGTCTTTCCTTCAATACTTCCTTTGTTTTCATTCTCTTCTTAATTGCCTTCTTTATTCTTCTTCATCTCTTCCTCTTTTTCATTTCCTTCTTCTTCTTTTCTTCAATCTTTCCTTCAATACTTCCATCTTCTTAATTACCTTCTTCATTCTTCTTCATCTCTTCCTCTTTTTTTCATTTCTTTCTTTTTCCTTTCTTCAGCCTTTCCTTCAATACTTCCTTCTTTTTTCTCCTCTTCTTAATTCATTCTTCTTCACCCCTGCCTTTTTTCACTTCCTTCTTTTTCCTTCCTTAATTCCTCTCTTCTTTTTCACTTTCTTCTCATTCATCTCTTCCACCTCCTTTACTTTCTTTTATTTCTTCTTCTTCACTTTCTCCATCTAACTTTGCTTCCTTTTCTTTCTTTTTCTTGTAACAACAACAATAATAATAATGAGACAACAACAACAATAATAATAAGAAATGGCAGAAAATGAATCAGACATTTTAAGAAATATCTTCCAATCAAATTCAAAATGTTTCAGCCCCTTTTTTGGCATTCAAAATGACAGGAAAAAAAATTGCAGGAATCTTGAATACAATTGGAATGATCAAAGAAACAGGTGTGACAAACGTTTATCAAATATTACACTAGGCAGTAAAAAAAACAAAAAATCTGATACGTACAGATCAGTGATGCTGCCCTCGACTGAATGGACTGTGATAATCTGCACTCAAATCAAATACATCAGGTTTTTGAGATATGCATATTGCTTATTCATTGGATTTTTTGCTTATTTATCCTTTAGATATCTAAAATCCGAACCAAGTGTTAGAAAAAGAATGACTAATAAATGGTAAATTATTGCAAGTCATCAATTTCTGTTTCTTTCTTAAATCTCCATAATACAACATCACTAAAAGAATTCTCTTCATGGTTTCTCTTTGGTATGTTCAAATTGCCACCATCATGACTTTGGAACTTTTTGGTATCATTATTATGCAAAACTTATGAACCATTCATTGTTGGGGTTGACAAAGGGGAGCTAAAATGAATATTCATGTAGTGTAGTAGTTAGCAGTTTGGAATGAAAAACTGACAGGTTGAAATTTACTTTTAAATCATTTCAACAACAAGCAGGGCAATAAAGCCACTAAGACGTAAGTGGTTACTCAGAATGAGAGAAACTAAGAAAACGTTACTGAGGAGAGAGGATACCAAAAGAAAGAAGAAGATTCAAGGAGACAGAAGATGACGATTAATGTCCCATTTAAATTTTTGAAGATGATTAGAAAGCAAAAGGCCAAAAGAGGGTTCCATAAGTATGAGAGGAAGCTGTTAGCATAGAACTGATGGTTATGTCAAGCAATTTCAACTGGAAAATGATGAGACCTAACTGCCAATACAGTACTGCAATTAAATTTGTAAAGTCGAGGTCCCAAAGAGGGAAGGTCATCAAGCCTATGAATACCTAAAAAATGGTAAATAGTCCATGGTTCTTTCTTAAATCTCTGTATTACCAATTCACTAAAAGGAAGCACTTTATGGCAATGGCAATAGTAATATTAGCTGTTTCCTTATAAGAAAACATTTTGGTATTCATTGACTGAGAAGCTAATACTGTTGTTGATTGAAGTTTATAAAATCTTTCTCTTAAAGCAATTTTTTAGAAAAATAGGTTTCTCAAGTCCAGTAACTTTTATCACTCTTTTCCCTATAACGGGAGAGCCTGGAAGAAAAGTTTATTCTCTCATTTATATTTCTCCCATTATGGGCATTATTATATCCGCAATGCAATAACACCAAATTTCATGGACGGGACAGAATAGCTTAAAGGAAATGAAACACAAACATGCTTTGTTCTCAGACAGACTTTTACAATGCTACGTTGTACACAAAATTATATATACATATATAAATGTGTCCCATGCAGAGAAATTATAACATATATGCAACAACAAACAGTGTATAAAAATGGGGAACATTACTTGTAGTATTTCCGAAAGGGAAAATTGGAATTACAGAGGTTTCTCTATGAACCTGGTGAGGCTATGTAGTTTTTCCTGCATGACCTACTGCCGTGAGCTAGGGACATCCTTCATCTCCAGGCTCTATATCGCAACTCCTTCATCACTGACAGTAAATCCTTATGACAGTCTAAGAGACAAACTAATTGCGAGGACTTCTATCACTCAAAAGAAGAAACTGTCCCAACTACTCAATGAGGAAATCATAGGAGACAGCAAACTACCATAACTGGCCTTTGTCGCTCTATCCCCTGATGTCACTTACTGGCTGTCACATTACTCTCATGACTTAATCTTCACAAAAGGGAGATAATCACCTTTTGCATCCCTACACCGGTATTGATGAGTGTTTCCTTCTGAATATTATATTTGAAGTGGTGTGGAATGTTAACATTTTGATTATGTCATTATTTTCTCTTCAAGTTACATGTGCTGTTCATTTTAGTCATTGCTGCTGTTGGTAGTTCTCAAATGATGTGGTTTCTGTTATTTGATACAGTTCTTTGTGATTCTGTAGCACCAGCCCATAATGTTCAAAGAAGGATGATCCCTACCAAGACCCTTGACCTTCACTTGCTCAAAGCCTTTTTTCACCATTGATCTGAGGAAGTAGTTGTATACAGCTGACAGTTTAGATATTTCTGAACAGGTCTGGCATCATGCATGACATCCACATGAAAGTCTCAATCTGATGTGGCTATATACTTAAGTTTTCAGGTTGATATTTTGCTCGTTTGTATATTGAAATTGCTAACATCATGACTTTGTTATGAAGTAAAATTTTTTAATTATTTATTTTTGGGATTGACAGAGGGGGACTGAAATGAATGTTCAGGTAGTTTAAGGATTAGAAGCTTGTAATGGGAAAATTAAAAAAATGAGTTCGAATTCTGGTTGGGTTTATTACATTCACTTCTGCGCAAATACCATTAAGAAAGGCATGAATCTAATTCTTCACCTCCCCCCTATGGATTAAATAGCAAGACAGACTGGATTCTCTAGCATTGATTGGTAACCAGAATGACAATTTTTAATTCAAAACTGTATATAGCCTAAGCGAAGCACTTAGAAAAGGTTATAGAATTCATAATTAACTGTTAGGTTGTGTCTAGTGTGAGTTTGAAATGACTACAAGCAAAACCAGAGCTTGTTTTAACAGGTGGGACATGCACATCTTGCTGCAGACTATTTGCAGCCATTTATTATTTATTTGGTCAAGCTAACTTGAATATTCATGAGTCTATCACACCAATGGCCAGAAGGTCATTACAGTGGTATTTTTAGACATAACACAGCTGGTCAATGTCGGCGGTTGTTAGGTGACCAAGCTATTTTGTTCCATGGCTAGGTGTCCAGAGAAGTAGATCATTTGTGATAACACAAAACAACTTATTGGGAACTTTGAAAGATTTAATAAAATAATTGATAGAACTTGTCCATATTATTTAACAAAGCGTGTTTGAGAGAATTCTTGCTGATAAAATACACCTTATTATATAAACGACATAACACCCCTTGAGCGTTTAGCCTTGGAGTGGGTAGAATGGAGATCAACGTGTTTTAGTGGACTCAGCAGTTTTTAATCTGCTTGTCTGAATCATTTTGAAGAAGTGAGAGCAAGAACTAAAAGGTCAGCCAATCTAACAGTGATTTCATCTCACAATCCTCACGCTTGCTCCATATTTGGCCTCCTTTGTAAATCACTAGTGAGGCTTAAATGCCACTTAAGACTATCGCACAAAATTTCAAAACTGAATCAACTAAGATGTCAGATCCTCATACATCGAAACCGATGGGAGAGTTCAATATTATTATATATATATATATATATATATATATATATATATATAATAGGAAAACTGTGATTATTGCTTATGCATTTCGTCCAATGTGGTAAAGTCCACTTTGGACGAAACGCGTCAAAGCAATAACTACAGTTTTCCCTATAACATTTATATTATAAATATTGTCTTTTCTACAGGTTAACTCTGAGAAATTTTCATATATATATATATATATATATATATATAAAAATTATATATATATATATATATATATATATATATATATATATATATATATATATATATAATTATTTATATAATACCAATTTGTAATTGGTAGGTATAATTCAAGGAGGACAGGATATTAAAAGATGTAAATGTAAATTACAGAGCAATATAATAATAACTCAAGAAAAACGTTAAAAATCCATCTTGGTTATAATTTATTTCATGAATATTTTTATATTCGTCTCTTCAGACCGAAAGTTCTTTTTAGAAAATCTTGATTTATCATTAAATATATATATATATATATATATATATATATCTCATTGAATAATTTAGACAAGTTTTGTCTACTTATTTTCAGTAGGACCCTCTCATATTCACGGACAATCTTCTTTGTATCCTTATTAAAGGAAGAGAGAAAATTACCATGTTGATACATATTCATTTATTTTGAGTACTTTCAACATTAGCACAATGTCATCATCTGGGTGTTGTTTTTTTTTCCAAGACAAAATTGTTGTGTCCATCTGAAAGTTAAATTTTTTTAACTGTGAAATGAAAAATGCCAAGGTTAACATATGTACGGTTGAGATTTCATGATGTAAAAAGGTTTGTCACTTAGCTGATTGATGTTACCTTTAGCACCCCAACTCCAAAGTTTCATAAATGAACCCTCTGGAACTTACTCCATCCACTCCTCAGGGGGTATGATTAATTGATTTATATATATAATAGATATAGTTAGTGTTGTAATGAAATGTCTCATACTCCCTATCACTTATGTGGGTTGACTATATCAGTGGCTATATATAGTGAGCACAGGATAAATCTGGGACTGGCTTTGGGAATTACTAGCGTGTTACCTGATTCTCTGTCTTTACAATAAACCTCTCTTCTTTCATCTATGCGCGTGTTGCTGTTCCTTCACTCAAGTACGACCTTTGTTTTTCTGTAACCTCTTTAAGGATACAACAGTTATGCTAACTTTAATTTAAGTACAATACTAGATTAGCAGCTAGGTCTCATCATTTTACAGTTGAAATGGTCTAACGTAACTGTATGTTCTCTGCTAACTGTTTCTTCTCCTGCATTTATCACTTGTGGGACTCTTTTCTAGCCTTCTGCATTCCAAATTCCATTGCAATGTTGAATGTTATCTTTTATCTCATTCATTCCTGTTCTTTTATTGTTCTTAATAATCTTTTTTTCTCATATTCTTTCACAATCAGTAACCCCCTTGCATCTTAGTGGCATTATTGCCTTGCTTGGGGTGCAATTATTAAAAAAAAATATTCACACATTGAGGCTATAGGATTGAAAAAAGAATTTTTTCCTGAATCCTAGAACAAATGTGGGAGCAAGAGA